GTGACAATGAACGTGTTAATAAGTAAATGTTGTTCAAATTATGTCGTGTTTTATGTCATTTTCAACAGAAAAATCTCATCAATATGTTAAGAAAAATTTTGGGATAAAAAAACGTAAAATTAAAAAAGTTTATATTTAAATCTCTTGGTTGCCTCGACACTGTTTCATACTTATCTTCTATTCGCTGTCCTTCTCTACGTTCGGCAAACTACAAAGGCGGGCGTGAGGCTCGACAACGTAGTCCCTGACTCTACGAGTGTCAGGTTTAGCTTCCTTGCGGTCTGACACTTGTGGAGAATATACTGTATTTTGGAAAATTTACCATGAAGTTACCGACAGCTTGCGATATAACTCGTGGAGGACGAGCTTTTAAACAGGCGATCATGTTTTCGCTAGTATCACTTGAACATCCCATAAGAGAGGCTAATTTTTTAGCTTTCTTAGAAGCATGTCTCGTTTGTGACCTAGGATTGAGTGTAACACCACTTATTGATATACCTCCTACAAGATAAAGAATACAAAATAAAACAACGAGTGTTAAAGTACAGAACGGAAAACTAAATGGAAGTAAAAATAAAATTTGAATTTTGTTAATATACGGTCGAATTCGCGGTTCGCGCCGTCGTATCCGATCGGCCACGACCGTTCACGAAGACCGTTCGGCTGAATTCGGAACTCCGCGCAGTCGCAGTCGATCGATCATAATCGGGTGCTTTCGCGAGTGCACGAACTTTACGCGAGCATTGAACTAATAAACGTTGAACGATCGCATAAATACAACTCGTCACTTTTAAACGCCTAATCAGTTCGTCCACATGTTCACTAATGGCTCACTTATATTTTTTTATATACCGGACAGAATAGTGACACAATTGGATATTTCACAGAACAGTGACTGCAGTGACGTACTTTGGAATAGACCAGCACTCAGGGGCGACATGTAGTGATAATGAACGCTTGTACCTCCTGCACTCAAACCTAACAGAGTTATTTCTTTGGAATCACCGCCAAAATTCTCAATATTGTCGTATACCCAACGTAAAGCTAGACTCTGATCCTTCAATCCCATGTTTCCGGGTACTACGCTGTCTTCCGTACTAAGGAACCCTTAAATAAATATTTGTATAAATAAATCGCTTTAAAAATGTAACGGACTACTATTCTCACCGAATGGTCCTAAACGATAATTGGACGTGACCAAGACAATATTACGATCCATTATACGTTTCTCGTCTGCTTGGTTTCCAGTGCCAAATTGGAAAGCTCCACCGTGAATCCAAAATATCACTGGCAGCAATTCTTCATTGTTGTTCCTAATCGACACGTAAATATTCATGTACAAACAATCCTCGCAACCTATGACTCTGTCCTCGCCTTTTGCTTCGAAAGACATAAGAAATTGCATGCAAGGCGAACTTTTCTTTTTCGCGGGTAATTCGTTTCCCCATCTTTGAGCAGGTCTAGGTGGCTGTAAATTCGAAAAATATGCTGTTCAAACATTTTCCATTGACGAATAATTAAATATTGATTTATGTTAATATCATCGTCGAACGCACTTCGAAACGAAGTTTACCAACAGGTGGTTCTGCGTAAGGAATACCTTCATAAGCCTCGTACTTTTTACCAAATTGCGACGTTTTATAGTAACCACTTATGTTTCCTAAATGTGTATCAACTCTTGGAATTTGTTCGTTTTGCCACGTAAAACCTGCGAGTCCGAGGCAGAAAAAGACCGATAACTTTATCGCGTACATTATGGAATTATACGCGAGATCTGCTAACACTCCGCCTTTTATAGAATGTCCTCACATCATACTGTGCCCATTTAGATACAGATATGTATGTCACTGTAATCTCCCGATTTCAAGTCAACTGTTAAAACAAAAAGAAACGATATTTGAAACAAGATGATGTTTGCTCGTGTTTTCAGATAACCACTTTTTATCTTTGGAGAAATCGGGTTGTTGGTAACGTGTTATGTATCTATTGAGTAAATAAAAAAGAAAAAAATGTGTATACACATATGTATTTATATTTTGTAACTTTAATAAATATTCTTATCAATAACTATTAAATACATTAATATTAGATATTCCATATTAATACCATTGAATTGTTTATTGAAATATTTAAAATTGCCTCTCTTTAGAATATGAAAAGTCTCGATACTCTCATAATTTTGATGTACTATCGCAAACTATATAAAATTAGTAAATTCAGCATAGAATAAGATTACAACCACAGACGACGAACAGGATAGACCTAACATCTTATGGGACATTTTGTCAGGTGCTTTGGGGCCGAGAAGACCCTTACCATTTTCGTGTCGCTGCCAACCTTACCGATTACAACATTAGTAGCGGTTGGAATTGGAATTAAAAGTAAATTTGATATTAGGTATCGATACTTATTCGACTAAACTACGATCTCTTAATATGGCAGCCGATTTGCTCGAATTATTTGCTATACAATCGTAATTATATATCAAATAATATCGATTGCCCAGGCCTCACCACGTGGAGGTTGCTGCGAATGAAGGCCCGCCCTATCCACACGGTCCCATCCACCCTCCTTTTACGCGCCTATTATTTCTTTACTACTCATTAATGTAACGCAACACCTCCTACTGATTGTACATTTGCAGTATGTTCGAATTTTCGAACGTTATGCAGACGGACAATAGCAGGAGACTGAAAGAATTTTAATTAAAACAAATGTCGACGAGAAAGAAAGAAAAAAAATACAAAAATAAAAGAACGTTAAAAGTATCCTATTTTAAACTTAAAGTACTTTAAGTTAAGCTTAACTTATCCTACGCCTAGCTTATAGTATAAGTTCATTCACACTTTACTTAAACTAGGAGTTAACTTAAACCTTACACTGAAAGCCTTAATTCTATGCGAGACATTAATTCACTCTGTACTTTCATCACTACACAAGAATATGTGAAACAGGAATCTGACTCGTGAAATGTTTGGAACACAAAAGAAGAAAATGTAAAGAAACACGTCTCACAAAAAAAAGAACACGACAGTTAAGGGATTGACTGCACAAGGCTCGGAAAAAACATCAGGCGCTTCTATTCAAAATTGTTTACAGATAACTAACGAAAGGAAAAGAATTACAATGTTTACAAACTGAGAGCTACCGTCTTAAGCAACATGTAACTCGAGCACTGAATTTTCATAAAAAACTTACCTAATTAAATTTTAAAATCTTAAATATCCTGCTTAAATAAAATTCTTACTTAACTTAAACATCGCCTACCTGGCTAGGAATTTAACTTAATGTATAAAATCGCCTACCTGTCTAAAGATTTAACTTAAATTAAGAATCGCCTACCTGGCTAAGAATCTAACTTAATGTAGAAAAACGCCTACCTGTCTAAAGCTTTAACTTAAATTAAGAATCGCCTACCTGACTAGGAATTTAACTTAATGTATAAAATCGCCTACCTGTCTAAAGATTTAACTTAAATTAAGAATCCCCTACCTGACTAGGAATTTAACTTAATGTATAAAATCGCCTTCCTATCTAATGTTTTAACTTAACTTCAAAATTTCCTGATTAATCAAGAGTCAACTTAATGTTGGAAATGTCCTACCTAATCAAAAATCAACTTAGTGATGAAAATGTCCTGCCCAATCAAAAATCAACTTAGTGATGAAAATGTCTTGCCCAATCAAGAGTCAACTTAATGTTGGAAATGTCCTGCCTTATCAAGAGTCAACTTAATGTTGGAAATGTCCTGCCTTATCAAGAGTCAATATAATGCTGGAAATGTCCTGCCTTATCAAGAGTCAATATAATGTTGGAAATGTCCTGCCTTATCAAGAGTCAATTTAATGTTGGAAATGTCCTGCCTAATCAAGAATCAACTTAATGTTGAAAATAACGTGGCTAATTAAAATTCCATGTTCGTTTGAAGAACAACCTGCCTAATTAAAAATCTATATTATACCCTGCCTATTCTGAAAATCTAAAGAGATATAAAGGAAAAAGAAGAGAAATAGCAGTATGGAAAGATGAATTGCTCGTATGCTCCTCTGTCACCTGCAACAAACTCAAATTCAAACAAATTTAGTAGTTAGATTTTACAACTCACGATATGGGAATCATTTACTTCTTTTCTTCCAATAATTTCCTCAGTTTTCAGTAAAGCGAATCTGTAACAAACTCGTTTTTTCTTGGATTAATAAAAGCAAAAATGAAAGTTCAACAGCTGAAAAAAAAGATATTATACACATATACGTATAAAATATTAATAATTATTATTATTGGGGAATGGAGTACTGTTTCCATAAAGGCACAGCTTACATCCGAAAGCCTCAGTAATAATAATTAAAAATGAAGGTTTAATAGCTGAAAAAGAAAGACACTATGCACACATCGTATGTATATTTTTACGTATTCATTGAAATAAAAGTGACATTAAAAGAATAGAAAGGTACTTTACATTGTTAGCAATTACTTGGTACACATTAATAACAAATTATTTTTAATGTTATTAGAATTTCTTTGTTAATTGAATTGGAATAAACAGTAATTTTAAAATAAAAACTGGAAAATTTCTATACCGAATACCAAGATGAAAGAAAAAGAGACTAAAATTGTGCACGTTTCATTTCGAAGTTATAATTTTCTCCGAAGAAAACGTGAAGAGATGTTACAATTTACTCTTCATTAGGAATTTAAAACCGAAACAATCGCACAATTCACTGCAATTTTATCTATATTATCATTTTTTTCAATTAGCAACGAGTATGCGACGTCGTTACCGATGATTCAAACATTTTACTATAAATATTACGAGCAACTACTTTCTACGTAACAATATTTCTTTGCAAGCTTTTTACGACACACACAGAATATGAAAAACCTAATCGCGAGTGTACTTTAATTCGTGCAATGCTATTTCGAAAATTTATAAAAATTCACTATACTCTACTGTTGCATCAATCGGTATACAAATTTGCAAATATTACCGACAGATGAATCTTACGTAGCGAGAAAAGTAAATTAACTCGAATAACAATTAATTCTTATTCTTTTTTAAGAATTCACCGAGCTTCTACTTGTACTTTCATTCATTATTAATTCTTCCTCTGATATATTCCGATTCAATTCGAGATTCTCAAACTCATTATTACGTCTTTAAAAATAAATCATCATCGATAATATGTAATATCGTAAATATTAATAAATATCTGTTATAGAAATTCAATGAATACAATTAAACAGTATTTTATGACAAACACTCGGTAGATTTCATAATCCACTCCTTCTAAACCCGAGCAAAAACCGTGAGTGGAATAATTCATTCTTTCACGCAACACTGATCTGTTAAATGTATGAAATAAAAAAAAGTCTCAGAATCAAACGCGGTGAGTGCTTCGTTTTACTTGCAATCTGAATTTACGAGAAAAAAAAGATAAAAAAAGTTACCGTTAAACGCGAGAGCAGCCACGTTAGGGCGCTTTGGGCAATACGCGACACTAATCATCTATGCACTCTGTAATTTATAATACGCAACACTAATAACGGGGGATCCATGGCAGTCGTAGTCAGGGCCACTGCCCTGATCTCCTTTGGCGCAGCTCTTTCAGCGACTCCTGAAAAATTTGGGCATTTCGTCGCAACACTACTCAAAGACAAAACGCGTTCATTCGTTGACGCAACGCTATCGTTAAAATTACAGATGGAATAAATGGACTCCTTCAAACTATTTTTACTCTGAATAAATGAAATGAATTTACTCTGAAAAAAAGGAAAAAAATGTAAC